TCTCCCATGGTACGACTCTGAAGACCAGAGAATTCAGAATCCTTTTATAATTGAAACATCCAAGTGGACCAAATTGGTGATGGGAAAGCATGCAAGGTGTTTGGAATTAACGTAAAGGGTTTTGAGGATGAAATCTTCGACATGATTATGAGAATGGAACAAAGAAGGCAACAACAACTGGTACTCAATAAAGCAAGGGATAAGGGCAAGAAAACAAAGAAGACGAAGAGAGAAACTGAAGCCAAGAGATTGATTTGCTCGGTGAATTATGATGGGGTGAGAAGAAGAACAGAGGTAGGAAATACCAATCATTTTCTGGATGAAAGTTAAGATTTTGACCTGGAACATAAGGGGGTTGAATAACAATGGGAAGAGGGACACTCTTAAATCATTAATCAGTGAGTGGAAACCAGATGTTCTCTGTCTTCAAGAAACTAAATTAGAAGAGTGGAACAGATTCTTAGCCGGGCAGATTTGGGGACACAGATGAGTCGATTGGGCTGAACTCAAAGCTAGTGGTACTAGGGGCAGGATCATCATCATGTGGGATAGAAGACAGTGGAATTGCTCTCAAATACAGCAGGGGACTTACTCTATCTCTTGTATGTTGGAAAGTCTAAATGAGGTCTTCAGTTGGTGCTTTACAGGGGTCTATGGGCCGCACACTAACATTGAAAGGAAACAGTTGTGGAATGAACTTGGAGCTATAAGAGGGATTTGGCCTGATCAATGGGTGATAAGGGGTGATTTTAATGCATGCAGATTCGAAAATGAGAGACTAATTTGTGTGAGAAGATCCGGGGCCATGCGAAAATTTTCAAATGTAATTCAGGATCTTTGCTTGGTGGATCTTCCTTTACAAGGGGCTTTTTACACATGGACTAGAGGGGAGGACACCATTCAAGCATCTAGAATAGATAGATTTTTTATCTCAAATGAATGGAATGATTCCTTCAGCAAAATCAATCAAATTGCTCTCCCTAATGTCATCTCTTATCACATTCCACTCATGCTAGAATGTGATGATTGGAACACTAACCCTTCTTACTTTAAATTTGAGAACATGTGGTCGGGGATGGAGGGCTTCATGGATAAAGTCAAGGCATGGTGGCAGAGCTATGCAGTCAATGGCAATCCCGACTTTATTCTTACTCAAAAACTCAAGCTACTCAAAAAAGATCTTACCATCTGGAATAAGGAGGAATTGGGATTGATAGGGCTTAAGAAAAGAAAAGCACTAGAAGACCTTCTCACATTGCAACAGAACACCGAAGGTAGAACACAAACTCAGGAAGAGAAAGAGAAGTTCATAAGCATAAAAATGGAAGTGGAACAAATGGCCAAAGCAGAAGAAGTATCATGGAGGCAAAAATCAAGATGCCTATGGCTCAAAGAAGGCGACAGGAACACAGTTTTTTCAGAAAATGGCTAATTCCAACAGAAGATCAAATGGAATTGACAAACTCAAAGTAGGGGATGAAATTACAAAAGACAAAGATCTCATCAAGGGTGAAATTCTTAGTTTCTATCAGCAACTCTACACAGAAAATGAGAATTGGAGACCTACAGCAAGGTTTGATGATGTTGCAATCACAGGGGAAGAAAAAGTGTGGCTGGAGAGAACATTTACAGAAGAGGAGGTTATAGCAGTCATTAAAGAGTGTGCTCCAGACAAAGCTCCAGGTCCAGATGGTTACACCATGGCATTTTATCAGAAATCATGGGAGATAATTAAAGAAGATATAATGGGAGCACTCCAACACTTTCACCAGAATGGCCAAATGGTCGGGTCATGCAACGCCTCTTTTATTGCACTGATTCCCAAGAAGAAAGGTGCAATAGAACTCAAGGACTATAAACCTATCAGCTTAATTGGAAGTGTATACAAGATTGCCTCCAAAATTCTAGTAGAAAGACTGAAAAGAGTGATTGAGAAACCTGTCTCAGGGCATCAAAATGCATTCATCAAAACAAGACAAATCACTGATGTTGCACTAATTGCTAATGAGGTACTAGACTGGAGACAGAAATCAGAGCAGCCAGGTCTCCTTTTCAAACTTGATATTGAAAAATTTGACCAGCTAAACTGGTATTACCAATTCAATATTCTTAGGAAGATGGGGTTTGGTGCAGGTTGGATCAGGTGGATCAAGTTTTGTGTAACAACTGTGAAGTATTCAGCTCTTGTCAATGGAGGTCCTGTTGGGTTCTTCTCCCCACATAAAGGATTAAGACAAGGGGATCCCCTCTCACCCTTTTTGTTCATTTTGGCAATGGAAGGCCTTAGCAAAATGCTTGACAAAGCAAACCAAATACACTGGTTGGAGGGTTTCAAAGTGGAAAGTTCTGTTGGAAGCTCAATTAGTGTCTCTCATCTCTTGTATGCAGATGACACACTTATTTTCTGTGGAGCTGATAGGTCACAAGTGCTCTATCTTAACCTCACACTCATGATTTTGAAGCTATATCCGGCCTCCACATGAACAGATTGAAGAGCACTATTTACCCTGTAAACACAGTCCCAAATATGGAGGAGCTAGCAGGGCTAATGGGTTGCAATGTGGGATCTTTTCCCACAACATATTTGGGTCTACCACTTGGAGCCAAAGTCAAGTCACCAGATATCTGGAATGGTATAGTAGAGAAATTTGAAAAAAGGCTTGAAACTTGGTAAAGGCAGTATCTTTCACTAGGGGGCAGAATAACACTCATTAACAGTGTCCTGGACAGCATACCAACATACTTCATGTCTCTATTTCCTATACCAGCCAGGGTGCAGAAAAGGCTAGACAAAATTAGAAGAAACTTTATGTGGGAAGGGAATAGTCAATACAACAAATTTCATCTGGTGAAATGGCCAAGAGTGATTCCGCCAAAGGAGCATGGAGGATTGGGCATAAAAGACCTAGCATTGCACAACAAGAGCATGCTAATGAAGTGGCATTGGAGGTATAACATTGAGAACACTGGGATGTGGAAAGATGTTATCATGGCAAAGTATGGGGTGCAGAGTCAATGGTGCACCAAACAGAGCAGGTTACCACATGGCACTAGTCCCTGGAAGCATATCTCAAGCCCATGGGGTGAATTAAAGGTCAACTATTCAATAAAGCTAGGGAATGGAGCACATGTACCATTCTGGAAGGATAAGTGGTCAGGGAACCAGACTCTGAAAGAAGACTACCCAAATTTATATCTCATAGCTAGCAATCAAAACTCCACAGTGAGTCAAATATGGCACAACAACTCATGGGACCTACAAACAAGGAGAAACTTACAGGACTGGGAGCTAAATGACTATCTGGAGCTTCAATCTAAGCTAGTAGGGGTCACTATCAAACCTCAAGAGAGAGACAAACTATTATGGGATGGCCAACATGATGGGATATTCACTGTCAAGAAAGGTTATGCACATTTGTGCTCGAACAAGGAGTTGATTGACAACTGGCCATGGAAACTCATCTAGAGAACTAAACTTCCACCTAAAGTAATTGGCTTCACTTGGATAACCTTATATGAAGCATGTCTCACTCAAGATAATCTAAGTCGAAGGAACATCTACATAGTGAATAGGTGCTACATGTGTCAGATAAAGGCAGAGAGTGTGAGGCATCTTTTTCTCCATTGTGCAGTTGCAGCAGATTTGTAGAGTATGTTTTTCTCAATTTTTGGACTAGCCTGGGCATGCCTAATAGTATTAAAGAGGCCTACGAAAGTTGATGGTCTTGGAGAGTTGGCAAATCCATCAAAAAAACTTGGCTCTTGATCCCCGCTTCTATTTTCTGGTGTATATGGACTGAAAGGAATAGCAGATGTTTTGATGGGATATCAACTCCAAACCATGCTCTTAAAGCTAAATGTTTATTGAACCTTTTTACTTGGCTTAATCAGGTACCTGTATCTAGTTGTGTTCATTTTTTGGACTGTGTCTGCTCCTTAGTTTTAACATAGGTTTATTTTTGTTTTTGTTTATGAGCAGACACACTCTAGTTACTTGTACTCTCATTTGCTATGCATCTTCTTGATGCTTTTAAAGAAATTCTCTTACTTCATCAGAACAAATAGATTGCCATTTCATTAGAGAAAAAATTCAAAAGGGACTGATCAGAACAGTACATATAGGCTCGAGAGATCAACTAGCAGATATACTCACTAAAGGGCTTGCAAGATAACATGAATTCTTGATGTCCAAGCTAGGAGTGTTGAATGCACCTACCAGCTTGAGGTGAGTATTGAGGCAGTTAGGAAATGAACATGTGACAGTTGTGTGTGTTACTTAGTTAGGGAGTTTTTAATTATTATTAGAAAGTTGTTAGATTAGTAATGAGTGTTAGTTAGATGGTTAGTGGGTGTTTTAGCTCTAGTATAAATATTGTATTGTACAGCATTTCAGTTAGTGAAAAGAGAACTGATTCTCTCCCTCTCGCCTCCTTCCTCTGTTATCATTCTTCCATAGCTGAAGCTCAAAACTCAGTTTGCGTGGCTGTTTAGCACAGCTTTCTTCACTATTGAAAGCAGTAAGACTCTACGGCAAATTACACCACAGGATATTGGAAGAACGCTATCTTCCACTGGCCTAGATAATTATTTTGATCTGTGTCATTAATCATCATCTAGTATTCAACAGACTACTTTCTCCTGGCTCAAAATACCATCTGAGCCATGGAGGAAGGGGTGTTGAACAGAGTACGCACCCAAATCCTAAAGTATGAAAGCTAGTTACCTCTAGTCTATTGTACTGTCATTCAATCTAATCTTAGATGCATCCCTCTATACAGCAAGAACAACTTTTGAAGCAAAGACTTATTTGCAGAGGATGCAGTACTTAAGCAGCACGAGATGACAGAAATAAATTGCTCAAGTGAATTGTTAAATAATGATGTGTAAGAGCTTCTAGCAGAACAAATGGAAAAGAGAGAAACAGAAAAGCAAAATTGAACAAGTGAGATGCTCAGTGAAAGAAAACACTGTAAATGCTGTTAGGACATCATTAGAGAACCGAATCGCTTACCCTCCATCCACAATCTCATCTAGGCACAGAAGAACCAAATCTAAGTTCTCAAGAGCCTCTCTCTGCTCAACATTACTCCTGCAACAATTGAATGATAGTTAGACAGCAAGCGTGCACATCTGAGAAGATTACACTACAAGACTCAAAGATAGTTTTAAAGATTTGGCCCATTGTACCTGAGGAGAAGGGTAACTGCATCAAAGAAGCCCTGGAGAACAGTGGCTAAAATTAGTTCACTTTCATCATCACCTCCCGTTACAAAGAAGTGAAGGTCTTGCACAAACTTATAGACAACAATGTTATTATCAAACATTGCTATCTCAGCTGCAGATCAATACTTCAAAAAGTAAGTAAAAAGAATGAAAATTAGAGAATCCTACTAAAATGAGATCCCCAATACACGAATATAAAGAACTGACTTTGTTCCTCATTTACAAAGTAAACTAGAATGCAAAAAAAGAAGGTCCAATAAACATAAAAACCCATTTCTCATGGTTAAAGAAAATTAATTAAGTAAACACAATTTCAGCACCAGATTATTTGGTAATGGAACAAAAGCAAAGACTTTTCATAAGCATACAAATATGCAGTCATAAATATCAAAGAGAAACCATAAGGTTGAGCAGTACCTTCAGTGCGAGCATTTGTCTTTTGAGTCTTGGTAAAAATAGCCTTCTCAAAAGCATGCTTGGCACTGTTTGTCGGCCAGTCATCGCAGTAGTACTTAATAGCTACACGCTTTCCTTCCGAATCCAAAAGAAGTATATTCTTGACCACAGGGCAAGAACCCTACAGCAATCATATGATCATTCTACCATGAGTAACCATTAACCCAATGTTTGGGGAAGGGGAAGCTAGTAAGGAGCAAGGAGGTTCAATTGAATCCACTTCATCAGAAATTTGTCCCAACTATGACATTCAAGTATTTTTCTGAATCCCCTTATATAAATTCCTAGCCCGGCAACTGATTGTCTCCGCATTCAAATTTCAGTAATTTACATTCTTTAGCATGCATTTCTCGTGACATTGACAGATGCAAATATACAAGCGAGCTACTTTCCACTTGGACAATATATATACACACAGTTAAAAGAATTTAAATATATGGTTTTTATGCTAAGTTCACACACATTTTCAAAAATACAGTGTTATCTCGCATCAAGTTAAGAATGATGGGATCAGATCACTTTTAACCCGTTTTGGACAAGATTTGATCAGGTAAGTGACACGTAACAACTACAGAAAAAAAAAAGACGCTATATATTCATACATGAGCGTATGTCGCGCGAGTGGTATCTGAACTGTGCAATGATTATAAAATGATGAGCTAGATCAGCTAATATTACCCCAAGATTTCATTATTTGTTTTCTCTTTTGATGATTAATCAACCAACGATTAGCTAAATCCAATCAATTATACACAGATAAGATACGTAATACGAGTGAACAGAAACATGTAGAAATAATTCGAGAATCGCGCATTGTGATCGACTAATAAATAGATACCAGATCTTTGAACTTAATTGAAGAAATTAAAGTTTTTTTAAAGGGAAATAAAACTGCAAAAGCAAGTAAAGGGGGGAAAAGGAAGAAGACGTACGTAATGGAGAGGAAACGCCATTGATGGAAGAAGTGATTCACAGAAGAAATTGTTCCGTCTTGATTTGGAAGCTTAACTGTTGGCTGGTAAACAGTTATTGTATTTTTATTTTTTGTAAACAGGAAATTACATGAGCTTTAAAATAAATAGTCTTAATTCTTTTACCTTTACTTTTCCATCGAAAAAATGTAAGGTCAAAATTTAGAAGTATTACCATAGATAGAGGTGTCAAATAAGCGGTTTGAGCTTATTTTGGACAGGTTAAAATGGATTACTTGAGTTGAAATGGACCGAGCTAAGATAAATTAAAATTTGGGTCATAGTCAATCCTCCCAACTTTTATCAAGCTTTAATTAATACTATATATTAATTTTTTATGAATTTTTTAATTACGGAATAAGACTTTTTTTTGTTATAGTCATAACTCATATGTAATGTCAAACAATAAATATAATTTAAAGATATTTTGGTAAAATTACTCATAGATCAATTTAGATAAAAAAAATCAGCGTAACTGTAAATGGGCTGGGTCAAGATGGGTTGAGTTCAACAAATATACGAGTTGAGCAGGTCATATTTTTCTGGGTCAACTTTGACATCTCTATCCATAGAGCAAGCGAGTTGTAACATTTATTAAACTTGAAGTTCTGCAAACGCGATCAAAAAAATAATAGTAACACTGAAATATTCCCTTTTGTACAAATCACTCTTTTAATAAAAGGAATTTTTACCTCCTATAGCAAAGGTTAACACCTTATTTATTTTAAATAATACCATTTTAAAAAATTATATTCTATAGAGACTTTTTAATATTTATAGCAAAATATCTAATTTTGGTTATCTCCTACCCCTAAGCCACTAAATACGCTATTCAGTTACACTATTTTCTTTCTCTCTCTATTTTACTTTGCGGCAATTTGCACAAACAAAAGAGCAGACCGGGTACCCACGAAGAGAAGTCGGGATGGCAACGTCGACCGGCAAAACAGGCAGCAACAGCAGAGATGGTTCAACGAAAACGATAGTGGCTGATCAAATCACTCAGTCCATTCAGTCCACCTCCAATCTCCTCCATCTCATGCTTCAG